TTTCTAAAGGGAATCTGAATCTCTGTTCGGGTATTAATAAGCTGTTCAGCCTAAGTGTGTGAGGAGCAACAACATGGCAGCTCCCCTCCCACACACACTTCTGTCACTTTCTGAGGTGTTCTCAGGAGGATGGTCTCTTGCACCCATAGAGATTCCCGACCCAGTTTTGAACACTGGGAAAAGAGTGTTCAGAGGACGTGCACAGCCCTCATGAATAATCATCTTCCATGGTTTGTGCCACATAACCATGGACATCACATCTTGCCTACTTCTGTGTCTTCCTACTTGAACCCCAGGTTTCGTACCCTTTTCCCATGATGAGTAGTTTATTTATTTATTTATAATATTTACAACCCCACCTTTTTCCTGAAGAGGACCCAAAAGGGAGAACTTGAAAGCTCACACTAGCTGTAACTTCTTAGTGATCCAATAAAGGTAGTGCTTAAGCCAGAACTTTGTAAACTTTTAGCTTCTTTTATAGTTATTAAGGAAGAGTGCCCTCACTAAAGGGTTGAAAAAGAGTATCACATACTTAAGTGCTGACTCATGCTGCTGTTTCCTGCTCTGTGGAGACAACAGAAGATGAATGAGGGGAATTCATCTGCTGGATAGCTCAGTGGTTTAGGATTCCACACTGTGCCTGCTTGACAGGAGCTGGACACAATGTTCCATAGGGCCCCTCCCAGCTCTCGAGTATTAAAGTTAAGAATTGTGCTTTGTAGGCTGTTGCATTCAGATTTTTAAAAAAGAATGAATGGTGACTATGTAGTTACTTTAGGGAGACCATAATGTTGAGATCATTTAAAGATTATAACAGAGTCAACTAACTAACTACTTGGAGGAAGACCTTCAGGGTATAACTATAACTAAGTACTTTTTTGAGAAAGTAACTTTCTAAGCTCTGGATATATTATATAAACAAATAAATATTAATCACAAGAGCTCTGGAATCTAATTGCCAGAGGCTTAGTTTACAGTGTTCCAAATTGATATTTAGGGACATGTTGCTGGATGAGCAGATGTGTGAAATTAAATGAGTGACTGGGAACATAAGGCAGTTGAATGTCAGAAGGTACATCTGGCCATGATTATTAATGGCTTTTTAATAAATGGCCATTTCTTTGTTTGCCATGGATGTGTAACTGACTTCAATTTCTTGCAGACTCTTAGGTCTAGCAGTTCTAGAGTGGTTCACAGCACACAACTTCTTTTTCTTTTGTTTTTCAGATTTCAAAAATATTACTGTAAGGGTTGCCATGATTATTAATTGCACATTTATGATGTTCTGGACGAAATCCTGTTGCTTAACATAGTAAATCATACTAGAATAAGTATATTGAGATTTGATGAGCCACCTCTTCTGTAAGTTGCATTGATTGAAATAAGCCTATTTTAGTTGTGACTTACTGCGCTAAACTACAGTTGGCCCATTTGAATCAACGGAACTTACAGAGGAATTGATTCATCAGATTTCCATTAATTCAATGGGTCTACTTTAGTGCAATTTACTCTGCTAAGCAATAGGATTTCAGGCTCTATGTGTGTTTGTATGAAAGGGGGAAGGAAGAGAATCACGATTATGAAATTGGTCCAGCTTATGTATCATGTAATCAAACCAAGACATTGAAGGCAGTTCTGTGGTGTAATTACTGTATAAGTGTTATAGATGCTGGACTTGTATTTATTTAAGGCAGTTCTGTGGTGTAATTATAAGTGTTATAGATGCTGGACTTGTATTCCAGTTGAGGTAAACCCTGCTTTAAAAAAGGAAATGCAGCGTGCTTAAATTTGACTGATTGTAATGGTTTTATTGTCTCATTTGTTTTAGTGAACCAGTAGCCATCTTGAATGTTCTTCTTTTAGTGAAAAGAGTGGACAAGAATGAAGTAGAACAAACAAAGAATTAAAAAATCTCAAGCAATTGGGCAGGAGAGGGTTCTGTTTGAGGAATAACTATCTGTCTGAAAAGAAGATACTGGTCTAGACAGAGAAACAGACTGGCTCCATATAAATCAATTTCAAGTTTGGAGCAGTTACTTTTTTTTAGATGACAACTCTCACAATCCCCTAGCTGTCATGGCTACACTAACTTTAGTTTATAGATCAGAGCAGCCACATTTTCATAATCTCCCACCCTTTTATTCTTGCATGAGGTAAAAAGATATTTCATTCAGGGATGAATAAAAGTGCTCCCCTACCCAACGCACTTTCCACCTGGAGGCATAGAAAGAGAAGGTGATCTTTAGAGTGCTTTTACTTTCCTCCGGCTCCCACAGTTGTCATCCCGGACTTTAGTGCAAAGTCCATACTCATCAGTGGTACCACCTATATGCTTCACACCTTGTAGAACAGCTTCTAAGTCCAGTCTTATCTGAGGGGATGCTGAAGCCTTATGTAGATTTAGGCAAACCTTTCCACAGACTCAGTTCAAATAATCTTAGGGGATCCCTTGTATTCTTCCTAGAACTGACTGTAAATAATTTTCTGGTGAACAGACACTGATTTTCTGATATTGTGGTACTATTCTGATGTGGCTTTTGGAGTTAAGTTTGATTATATATTTGTTCACATGCATCCCATCTGCTTTCAGTACCTTGGTAAATAACCTACAAATTACAAAAAAGTATATGATGCATATGATGCAAATGATGTCATGATGGGTTTCAGCACAAATCAACCAACTAATCATAACAGCAGCCTCCAGACTGTGATTTCAATTGGAGGGTATTTTTTTTGCTTTGCATCATATATATCACTGAAAAAATCAAGCCCTCTAGTAGCTATTTCCAGCTAATAGCCACCTGAGAGAAGAAGGATTTTCAGAGTGAAATGAGATAAGAGAAAGATGGTGTTGTGATCTTAACCTGGAAGAGATACTCTTGCAAATCCATTCAAGGAGAATCCCAGGCATGGAATTCAAATTTATGGTTAATGCCATGTCTATTTGGTCATCAGGACTCTCTCCTCAGTTCAGTGTAGTGGACAGAGTGATGGAGGAGACCTAGGTTCAAATCTCTGCTCAGCCATGGAGACTCATAGGAAGGTAGGAGAGGGGTGGCATTACTAAAATCATTTCTTAAACATCTCACTTATCTTAAGAGCCCTCTTAGGGTTGCTATAAGTCAGTTCCAACTTGATGGCATATAACAGTTCTCTCCACATAGGAAAAAATGGACGCTCTTGAGAGTTTCCTTTCTACCATCTTGGAGAAACAGAGAGATTTCACAAAATAATTCTATGGAACTCAGGGACAGCATTAAATCACACTTATCACTGGGAGGACAGTCTCTAAAAAAAGAGAGAGAGATGGGTTCCTTCAGCTAACAACGCAATCTGTTCAATCTTTGGAGTTCTCAGAGCCAGGTAGGAATGACAACTATTTGCAGTGTGCTGTTTCCTCCCCTCTTTTCTCACCATTTCTCTTTCTTCTATTGTCAGAGAGTTAATTTAATGGGTGTCTGTAAGGGTTGGGCTTGTTTCCTGTCCTCTCCCTTACCTCCCACTCTCGGCTGCACTTCAACATGAGCTCTCTGATGACCTATAAATTTCAGAAGCTGGCTCCAGCAGCTCACTCGCTGGGTCGGTTCATTGGGGTTCTTTTGGCTTGTTCTTTCCCAGCTTTCCTTTCTTTTTTAAAAGGTTTCTACTTAATGGGTCTGAGGAGGATGCTAAGCTTGTGGCTTCAGACCTGTATGTGTGTACTTTCCTTTCTCCCTTCCCCTGCCCTTGAAGGGTCTTCTAGCCTCCCATTGATCATTCCTGAGGCGGCTTGTTGATTCTTTCTCCCCTTACAGCAAATGTCTTGCTGATGTGTTTTATTTCTTTGCTTGCCTCGCCATTCTGTGTGTGAGTCAACACGGAGGATGGATTTTTATACCAGCGCCGTTTGGCTCCCTCCTGGTATCTATCTTTTTTTGTGGGGCCTTAATAACGATGGCATTGAATTGCTGGGGGTGGATACAGCATCTGTAGTATTTGGCATTCTTCTCTTTCCCCAGGTCCCTCTTTTGTCTTTGTTATCTGTCTCTCCTGGCTCTCTTCCTGTAGATTTCGCCCTCCCTCTGTTTCATTTGTATGCCGGAGTTACCAAAGACGACTAGGAACTATTTAGGGGAGGTTAATGATGCTATAAAAAGGACAAAGATCCTGTCACACAGGAAGGAGAACCGGATTAAAATGGCCCTCCTGTAGGAAATGCAGCTGGTACGACATGACAGTCATGCTATTTTTGGCTTTGTATTTTTGTTTTAATTCGCTCCTCAGTGATTCTGGAGAGATGTTTTCAAACACCTGAGCCTAGCGTTGCACTGACTTCCCTTCAGCGTTTGAGTTCCCATAAATTGCATATGCCAAATGCTGAGATTTGGTGAGGTTCATTTTGTTCTCCTCACCATTCTCGTTAATTAAAACCCTGGTTTGGAACACGCAAGCCATGGGCGGCATCTGGGCTGATATCAATAAAACGAAATCCAACAAGGATAAATGTACAGCATTAGGCCAGTGAAAGGTGCACAGGAAAGCAAAGCAAAGTCTACATCTGTATAAGATGCAGGAAAGCCAACTGGTCAACAGCACTGTTGAGAAGGATTGGACGTTTATAATGGGTAAAAAAATGATTACATCGGCAGCGGCACACTAGGAAGATAAAAATGTGGTGGTTGCTCAGTTGTGAGAAGAAAGCGCTCTGTACAAACACAGAGGCACTAACCTTTTCCAGCCAGCCCAAAGACTGACGCCAAAGGACTCCTTGCTCGCTACATGGGGAGCCAGTAAAAGACACAGCAGCGAATTCTGAAACATGCTGTAGAGCACAGAATGAACAATCCTTATCTGCTATAGTTCGGCACTACTGCTCCTCTTTTCCTCTTAGAAATGTATAAATCACATTCTTTAGCAATACTTCAAACAATGTTAAAAGCGATGTCAACGGCACTACTAATATCAATAGAGGCTCAAGAAATAAATCAAGTAAAAATGCTAGGGATGAGACGATTACTCACAACATTTCTCATGCCTGGCAATTTTCTGAGGCTTGTCATGCAGAGGCTATCTGTTGCGACTTCCCCCTGCATCAGAGAGAGTTCATAAAAATGAGACTTGGGTCTCAGCCTCCCTTCCCCTTATGTTTTGCCTGTTGTTCTGCATAGGAAATGGCCAAATTCTGCACAGCTTAATGACTGTTCCGATGAAGCCAGCACAAAAAAAGGGATGGCATTTCATATAGAAACCCTGACAATGCAGCACAGCTATGTGTTTCTTCCCCTCTTTGCAGGTAAATCGGATGCAGGAAGGATGCAATTCTTCAAGGAATGGTAATGATCCTGCCCAGCTTGGTTTTTCAGTGAATCCTGCAGAAGGTACTCTGCACAGAAATTATAACAATTCTGTGCACCTTGGTGCTTCTTTTGCCCTTGCCAAGTGGATCCTGCACAGGGAAGAATTGTAATAATCTTGCACAGGTTGGCATTCCACCACCACCACCCGTTGCGGAAAAATAATGAGAAACTTCTAAAAAAATTCACAAAATTTCCTGGGGAAACAAATCTCCTGCAGAGGAATCTTACTGCAAGGAGAAAAGAGTGCTCCCCAGACATTTGGGTTGTTGCCAAGAGTGAGAGGCTGGGAAATTCCTATCGCTATAGGGTGCAAAAGTGACATTACTGTATGCTCTTGTTCACACTCTGGGCTTTGATGTTTGTGTGGGTGTTTGTGTGACCCTCTTGCCAGTGTTGCTGGCTTTGGTTGTAATAGCACCCCATTTTCTATCTATTTAGTATGCTCTGACCATGTCCACATTCCTTATGGGGACAAATGCTCTATCATACAATCTTTATTTTATGTAGCAGAAAAATAACTACAAGTGTGAACAACATGCATTTCCCCTCACTGTTGAGCACCTGCTGTGTCTCGCTTCACTGGGTAAGTCCTTCCTTAAGTCTCTGTTGCAAATATGTGAGGAAGTAGAGTGTGTTAACTCTCCCTCTCCATCCTCAGTTTAATCATCCTCCAGATGTGGAGCATGACAATCAGAAGAAGAAAACTTTGTTATCTGTGGAGGTTCTCCACATGATTTGGAACCTGGATTTTCTGTTTCCACTTACATGGAAAGCCCCACTGATGACAGAGTCAGTCCAGTCCAGTTCAGAGAAGTGATGATAATTCCTCTTCTGCTTTCATTTTCGTTCTATGTACCTAAAGAACAACTGAATTAGTCTAAAGTCTTACACAGCATTCCGTGTCTAAGTCGCACTGGCCATGTGACCACGGAAGATTGTCTTTGGACAAAACGCTGGCTCTGTGGCTTGGAAACAGGGATGAGCACCGCCCCTAGAGTCGAACATGACTGGACAAAAATTGTCAAGGGGAACCTTTACCTTTACCTACCTTACACAGAGGCGAGTGGGGTGTGACACAGTCCTCTTTCAGAGACAGGGTAGGAAAGTTAGCTTAAAAACATTGTTCTGTCTGGTGGTACTTCCACACCTCTGCTAACCCTTAGATCAGGACTTCAGACGTGACCCTCTCATACCTGTTTAATTTCACTACTGTTGCTATTCTACCTGTTTTGAGATGCAGGCTGCTCCACAAGTGTGTAAATAGAACAAGAAAGAATGGACAATCTTAATTACCATGTTTCTTAACACAAACTTCAAGAGAGTTTTTTAGTGTGATGTATAAATACAGTTGCCATTTCTGGTGTTTCATGGTTTTCTGTGTGTGGAAAAAAATTGCTTTAAGCTCTTAGGAGAGAGAGGGAAAGACTAAAAGAAGTTATAAGTGAGATGAACAAAAATATTTCAAAACAATGTTCAGTCTGACTCCTATTTTGCTTGCACCAAGCCTATCCACTTTATTTATGACTTCTGCAGAATGTAAAATTCCTTGTTAAATAGCTTTTAATAATTTGAATGACATGTTTGCCAAAATGGAAGCACAACAGAGTTCTTCAAACAGGCCACCTATCTAAATATTAGATGACTCCTCTGTTACAGTTCTGCAGGATTTTTGTCTGAATATTGCAAATGTTTGATCATTCCTGTTCACACTTTTAGTAACTGTACATAGTATTTCTAGGTACTGTGATGACTTGTAATTTTCTGAGCTCTTATTTATTTATTTAAAACATTTTTACCTGGTCTTTCTCCTTAAGCAGGATCCAAGGTGGCTCACATCATTAAAAGGCAATATTTAAAGCTAAAACCACTAAGAATACAAATATTTAAAAGAATCAAACAAATACCACACTACAAACAGTAAACAACAGCAACATCAAAATGCATTCAAAACGGTAAGGTACAAAAATCCCTTTAAAAAGCTCCACTTAGGTAACCAGTCGCTAAAGGAAAGCCTGCCTGAAGAGAAAAGTCTTTGCCAGGTTGTGGAAGGACAGCAAAGATGCAGCCAGCTGGGCATCCCATGCAGGGAGTTCCAAAGTCTGGGAGCAGCAGGGCATCCCATGCAGGGAGTTTCAAAGTCTGGGAGCAGCAACAGAGAAGGCTCTCTCCTGAGTTTTCACCAAACACACCTGTGAAGTTGACAATACTGAAAGAAAGACCTCTACTGGTGATCTTTATAGCTGGGTGGGCTCATTTAGGACTTTGTAACTCAATCCACCTGGAGTAGGAAATGGCAATGCCACTCCAGTATCTTTGCCAAGAACGCCCCATGATCAGAAACAAAAGGCTAAAAGATATGACGCTGGAAGATGAGCCCTTCAGGTCGAAAGGCATCCAACATACTACTGAGGAAGAGCGGAGGACAAGTACAATTAGCTCCAGAGCTAATGAAGTGGTTGGGCCAAAGCCGAAAGGACACTCAGCTGTGGACGTGCCTGGAAGTGAAAGGAAAGTCCAATGCTGCAAAGAAAAATACTGCATAGGAACCTGGAATGTAAGATCTATGAACCTTGGAAAGCTGGAGGTGGTCAAACAGGAGATGGCAAGAATAAACATCGACATCCTGGGCATCAGTGAACTAAAATGGACAGGAATTGGTGAATTCAACTCAGATGATTATCACATCTACTATTGTGGGCAAGAATCCTGTAGAAGGAATGGAGTAGCCCTCATAGTCAACAAAAGAGTGGGAAAAGCTGTAATG